TGACAGTACAATTACAGTATCTAGCAGTAAATAAAATTTAGTGCAGGCTTAAGCACAAAGTCAGCTTTTTCTTTCAGGAATAAAAAATGAGTGGTAGAGAAGAGAAGTTGTAATGTTTGTGTGTATTAAGAGGACATGTTTGGTGTTTGATAACTTTGAATTTGCTCTATCATAAAATATGGAGCTCCTCCCTCATCCTGCAGTCTTTATTTTGCCTCTGTGCAACCTGCTTTTAAGAGATTAGGGCTCTGTGTTTTTAATATATTGGAATCTGCTTAGTGAGAGTGCTTTGTTTTGGAAAATAATTGAAACTATGGCAACCCTCATTTTTTTCCCCCAGCTTATTTGTCTGCCTCCTGCACTCCTCTGGTTTGGTGGATGATTAGCATACTGGAAGCCACTGGTAGCTGCTAATGTTATACAAACAACAAATATAAGTTATGTAAATATTAAATCCACAACACCTTAGTTGCACTTTAGAAATCATTACACACAAACCAAATATCACTGTAAAACTTAGACTTTAAGGTCTCCTTGCTATCTCTGTGGCTCAAGTCTACAAAAATGTAAGTGCTCACCCCAGGGCGCAGGCTGGAGGGGTCAGGCACAGGAGCACTAGTTCTGATGGGTGCTTGCCTGCTGTCTGCTCGCTCTAATTTCCTTCAGATTCTCTGGAGCACTTGTTTTTTGTTTGTTTGTTTGTTTTGTTTTATGTTCTCTCAGACTTGTCAGCCACACGCAGACATCAGTTTACATAAATTGACTTTCCGTTGCTGTCGAACATGGCTTCTCTTTCCCAGCTTTCAGTCTCTTTCACAGGGGACTGTAGCCTTTATTTATTTATTTTCCTTTTACACTTCTGTGTTCAGTTGCTGCTGTGATTAGAAAATGGGTCATCCTTGGATGAACTCTTCTGAACTGCCTCTTCCAGAGAGCTTGCTTGCCTGGGAAATTCTTGAAATGGGAGCCATCTTAAAATCTTCCTGACAGCTACCAGTGACCTTCTTTCCTAATTACTTGTGTTTCTGTCTAGCTCTTCCAAAGTGTTGCTTCTCCATGTTTGAAAAAGCTTTTAAAAAGATGCTATAATTTAAGATTTCCAGTCTCTGGCTTCTTTCCAAACAAAACTTTGCTATATTAACAGTTCAAACTGAGAAGTTCCGTGCCGTGGTGTGTCTGGCATTTGCGCCGCTAAGTGGGGCAGACACGCTTGGCAGCCGGCCCAGGGCCTTCAGCCTCCGGGAGCCCCCCCGGGTGGGTTGTGCAGCTAATAGCTGTGCTGGCTCTACAACCCTTCAACGGGAGGGGATTCTTCTTCCTTCTCCTCTTCCTCCTTTTCACAGTTAAACATGTAAACTGATAAAGGCTTGCCTTTGTCTCTCTTTTTACGGATACGCTTTCTGTGTTAGTGTAAGGATTTCTCTGAAATGGGATATGAAATGAAAAAGCCAATGGATAGCTACTCCCTTACTAGAACATTATTGTAAACATCATATGGTTTATTGTTTGTGAGAATTTCACCCGTGCCCTGGGGTTGTGACTCTCAAAATTCCTCTTCTAAAGATCTGTCAGATTTATTAGAGGGTTTGTAATTTGTTTCTTAGGGGCTTCTCTCAACCTGTTCTTTCTCCAGTCCTGGCTTTTATGGCATGGTTCTTTCTAGTCACGGCTGTGGTAGTAACTGTATGGCTGCTGGGGCACTTCCCTGGCTTTCTGGGCTTGTTGAGGTATCGTCCGCTGTCCTCCAGTCTGCGTGACAGAGTTTTCACCTTGCATTGTCACTGTCAGAGTGCAGTGGTTTGTCACTGTGAAGCATCTTAAAGCTGTCTCCTCACTAGTGTGAATGAAAGAGTTGCTTATACTTGAGGGCTTCTGATCACTTTGCTGCCTTCTGTTTCAGTTGCCATAATGTCAAGAAAATGGTTTTCTAGACGGCCGAGATATGTAGCCATTCCCTAATGCAGGGTACTTTGGGGAAGGTCTCCATGCCCTCAGGGTTGTTGTACAGTTGTACAATTGTGAGGCTCTTTGGGACCATGCAGACCACCATTAAAAGTTAGAATTAATGCGTAATGTCACAGTACTTGCAGGTTGGGACTGGGAATGCTTGATCTTAGCTTTTAATGCGTTCCACTTGCATGTTGTGGAATCCCATAGGGAAGCTGAGGTGCTGCTTTTAATCTTTAAATGGTTTGGGCCCTGGCCTCTTGAGATGAGTAGGGGGCAGGGATGTAGGGGCTATTGATCAACAGAGCGTTCTCTGCTGAGCTGCTGATCTAGGGATGTTTCCTGTCACAGTCTGCACTTGCTTTTCCACTGCCTGCAACACCTACTACCTTGCTTTTTTTGTTTCAGGTTGAGTGGGTTGAAGGCACTGTGGTTGTGAGCAGTTGCTGTCTGTGTTGCTGCAGTGACTTGTAATTTAAGAGTACAGGAAGAATGCCCCTAGATGTAGCTTATAAAACTGGAAGAAATAAATGATTGCCAACACAGGTGAGAAAAGGTCACCAAAGACTTATTAAATGACTCAGAATCCATTGGGTGCTTCTGAGGGCAGTGTGAGTTAGAGTCTAAAGAGACTTAATGCTGAATTTTGACAGAAAATAAGAGGAACAATAGATTTAGTCTGGACTCTCATGTTATCTTCTACAAGCTCCAGGTCCTGCATGCTCACAAAGGGGAAGTAAACCCTATTAAGAGGCTAGTAAGAATTATGATATATAATTGTAGATACCCCAGGGGCACTCCAGAGACTGATCATAAACCAACTGTAATTCTTAATTTCCTGACCTGTTCTAGCCTTCTTTGTGGATTATTGCATTGCTGGCTTGAGTCTTTTGTGATTCTTTAAAGGCTCCTGTAAGGGATGGAGATTTGTGTCTAATTTTCAAGGATGCTCTTTTCACAAATTGGATGGCTTTTTGCCCGTTTTGAAGAAATTAAAGGGGAAGTCAAGTGTTGAGGTTTGGATTGTATTGTTCATACATTTTGTGTTTACATATAAACAAATAATAATGTCTCTCTGTTGCTGGGAGGTCAAATGTAAAATGTTATTGTAACAGCCTTAAGCAAGATAGTCAAAACCAGAACTAAGAGGAAAAATTAATTCAAACTGAAGTAGTATCAGTATTTTGATTTGGAAACTGGAAACATTTGAGGATGGTGTATGAGGTCTCAAACTTTCAGATTTAGAGTCTTACTGAACTGCTAAAATCATTCTTCATGCTTGAATTATGAAGATGTGCTCACGTGTTTTTATTAACCTCTAGAATAGTTGCCAAATAGCGGCTCTTCCTAGCTATGCTATTAAATGTTAAGAACTAGATCATTAAATGTCTCAGAGAAAAGGCAATTTTATGGTCCTAAAAACAGATAATATACTTTAAAATTTATTTAAATATTTGTTGTAGAACAGCCTTCATCTGTTCTTCCTTTCATTTCTTTTCCATGCATTCCAAAAGTATCTAAACTTCAAGAATTTGATTTTAAAATGTCTAATTTCCAGAGTTGTCAGGGAATTCAGACATCTGCAGTATTTAGGAAAAAGGTAGCATTAATGTGATAAGCAAAGAATGTAGTTACTTTTATATTATAGTCTGCAGTGCCTTTTGTCTGACTATTCCTGCTGCTTCCATTTCATGGCAGTTGCTTGAAGAAACACATTCAAGTGGCAGGTTGTCACATGGAACAAAATCAAGGCATGTCTTAGTAGTCTCAGTTGGTTTTTTTTTTGTAGGTGTGATTTATATGCCTACACTATTATTACTTGGGCTTGTACTTCACAAGTACATGAAAAAGGACGCTTTGCATCAAAGAGTAAAATGTTAGTGCTTATACCTGTTTGGATGTGTTCCAGTAGAATTTGGTCAACTGACTTCTAGAAGGTACATCCTTTTACAACTTGGTTCAAATTTGTATTAGCTCAGTTGGGAGTAAGTTCATTGAAACCCTACTGGGAATTAGGTGTGTGGAACACCTTGATTTTTCTCTCCCAGGCTTTACTTCGAAGTCCCCTGGACTTAATGTAGGGCTGAGGGAAATGGAATGGAACGGGATAGGCAGTGGGTCAAATAGCACATTTTAATACCTGAAGGTATCTCCAAACTTGACCCACACTCATGTTACAAGGTGAGTCTTCATGTATTGGCAGCCTCGTTACAAGACATGGGGCAGCTGGTTCACAGGAAGCCTTCTGGCAGCTCCAGCTCATTCTGCCCTGGCAGCGCTTGGAAAAGAAGGACATCAGGTGAAATGCACTAAGGACAGGAGCAACTGGCCTGGGAACAAGTTAATTCCTTCTTGCAAGCTACAAACACGTACACTGAAGATTTCCTTTAGGGTTTTTCCTTACAGTTCTTCTCTGAAACAGAAATATTTGGAGCACCCATGATGAGCAGAGATGTCACCCAGTGGCCTTGCACTCCTTGTACTGGTCACGGGGTTCTTACCAGATTCCACAGGTTCAAAACTCCAGCTTTAGGCTCTTGCATATCACTACATTTTGTGGCAGAACTGTTGTAATTCTTTGCCTCAGAAGTGGGTGTTTTGCCTTCAGAAGCAGAGGTCTTTGTGTCTTTTTTTTTCTTCTTTTTTTTTTTGTCTGTGAAGGAACAGAAACACTGTGTGTGAAAGGTACTTTGTGTGCCTTACTTCAACAGTGACTTGTGGCACCCCACAGAGACTTTGATTTTACCACCCTATTATTGTCTTTATGGTATTGATGTATTTATAGTAAAATTAGATTCCATGTTGCTTCTTCCTGGGGTTTCTAAAACTGAAATCATAGTGGCATGTAATGCAGGATTTAATTTTTATTTAGTTCCGTATCTTTTCATCTTTACTTTTACTTAGCGAAAAGTTGCTGGATTGACTACTCAGTATTCTTCCTGTCCTGATTTGAAGTACTTGGTACTTGCAGTCTTTATTTAAAAAAAAAAAAAAAAAGAAACAACCTTGAAGACCTGACTCACTGATCTCTCTTTCTTTTTCTTTCCCAGAAGTACACTGCCATTGGACTACTGGGCAAAGCTACTGATACATTAGATGCTACAGGAAAAGTAACTGAAGAAAAACCTTATGGTAAGCATAGATGTATCTATATACTTGATGTAATTTGAAGGCATAAGTGGTCTCTATCATAGAAAAGAGGAAGAGATGTTTGGGACCTGTGAACTAAATTTAAATGTGAAATCAAACTAAGATTATTTCATCTTCAACTTCAGTGCTCATATAATTCAGTTTCATGCAATTACGTCCAGTGCAAGTGTTCATTTCTGTTGGAAAAAAACCAAACCAGGCATTAGATTAGGAGGGAGAAAATAGAATTGGGCAGGTCTGTGTCCTTTTAAATCTTTGTCAGGCTGACAAATGACGTGCTGTGTCCAGTAAAATTTTCCTCTTTCAGTGTATAGTCCCATGAGTGCTCTTTTAATAACACCCTTCAAGGCCAGTGGAGGAATAAAGTACTTAGATCTTCCCTCTAGGATGCCCCTTTAACTACAGACTGTAGTAGATGCAACTCTCGTGGTCAATTAATGAAAACAAAAGTTATCTGTTTCTTGAAACACTAGTTTTGCTTTTTTATTTTGTATTGTTTAGTGCAGGCAGAATTGAGGGTGTTATTTTCACGCACTTTTTCACTGCAGCTCTTGTTATAGTAGCTCCCACCTCTGCACCACCTCCTCTGTTATGGCGGTTTAGCTTTCTGTTAGACTCTTGTGTGCTTGAGGAATTGATTTGAGTTAAAAATACCCCCTATTTTTTCAGTTGCTCATCTTTTTAAACCGAGATCGGTTGCATGATCCAGTTCATCATGTGGTCCCATGAAGAGCAGTATTGGCCTTGCTGGGGCTGGACAAAGTTTCCTTTTGCTGAATCTGACAGCTGAAAGAAATGCTCGTGAAATTGGTCTCAGTTGATTTCCATGTTGGTGCAAATCAGTTGGATTTAAATTCTTCACAAAGAAGAGAGAACATGCATACTCCTCCTTTTTCTCTGCTAACCTAGCAGTTATTTCTCATCTTTTCCAGTGTCTTCTCCAAAGCAGCTTGTTTTTCTGCAGGATTCTCTGAGTGGCCCACCATCCCTAATCCCTCACCCTAATTGGTACTCTGAGAACCAGATATTTGAGCTGAATTTCAGCTTTCCTTTGACACTTACAAGGGTCCTGGGAGAAGCAGAGCATCTGCTAGGGTATACAATCCTGCAGTGTCAGCAGCATCCAGGACTGGGCCTTAGTGCAGAGAAAGGGCACTAAAACAGCTTGCAAGATAAATAAAACTCTTCTTGAATGACTTATCTGGACCACAAGAGGAAGGTGCCTTCAGAACATTCCCTGCTATATTGACTATAAGAATGTGTTACACTTTAGTCCTCGAACTGTCCCTAGAGAGCAGTTGAGAAAGCAAACTGTTGTGTATTACAGTTAGTGGCAATGAGAGGATGTGCTGATGAGAGCTCCTTGGGTTTAATCCCTCCTGAACTTCTCATAGTTTTTAGTTCGTTTCTTACCAGAAGAGTTTGCATTTCCACATGAAATCAGGTTGTGGTTTCGTACTGCTCCCAGGCTATCAGATGCTGATTTTGAAACAAGCAGTATTTAGTGTTCCTCTGATGCTTTCTTAGGAACGTTAATGTTTGTCACCCTTTTTTCAATGTTTGTAACTGTGCACAGGAATATGCATTCTGAAACCCACTTCCTCCCAGCTGCCTACAGATATATCCAGACACGGAGAACAAAATTCAGGAGGATTTTCTGCAAGTCTTCGCTGATTATGCTGAAATACATGTTTAGTAGAGTTATCTGAATAATTTGAAAAAAGTAGGGCTGCAGCATTCTGCTTATCTCTTTGCAGATAATTTGTGCTGGGCCAGATTGAGTGGAGTTCTGTTGGGCTGTCATGGGTAGGTTTTGTGTTCTATTTTGGTGTTGTTTGTTAACAAGTGCAGGGAGGTATCACCCTTCAGTGGAGCCTTCTTGAGGTTGTGGCACACAAATGAGGTTGTGGCACACAATTGGCCCCTTTTGTTTTGGTAACTCATTAACTTCCTTTATGATCATAGCAGGAAAATTGATCAACAGTCACCAGTGTTGAGAAACACAACTGTTCTTTAAAATTTTCATATTGGGAGTTAATAGGCTCATTTTCAATGTTTTCAGAAACATTGGAGAACTGAAGTTTGGGATGTGATTTGAGATGCTGGTAGAATCGTAAGCAATAGCCTGCAGGAAGATGCATAGCCTGTGCAGAGATCACATAACCACACTGTTGGTCCTGCAGACGTGTCTCTCAAGCCCTTAATTTCAGGGAGTAGGGAAGGAAAGTAAAACAGGGAAAGTTTTGGAACTGTTGATGTTAATTAGCCTTTATGGATGTGTTCATTTTATGCTTGGTGGAGGGTTGAGTCCAAATGCTGCCCTAAACTCACTGACCAGACAAGCTGTTACCTACTAAACCCAAGCCCACAGCCGGGGGAGAGAGATGGGTGGCCGAGGGCCTGAAGGGAGACCATTCTTCTGGGCAGCAGGACTTCTGTGATTCTGTGATTCATTCCCCCCTACCTGTGCTGTGGGTGTAACAACTGTGGGAGATGAAAGGTGGTGAAAGGAGCTGGTTCCCAGTGTGGGCTGTGCCTTCTACAAAGCCATGAGTCCAAACTGATGCCTGGGACAAATAGAGAGCTCGGACATAGTGGAACTGTTTGTTTGGGACGAGACTAAGGGTGCATTCTTTATGCCTGAGAGCTGGACAAAAGCCCCACCAGCTTGTGTGTTGTTCTAGGAGAGGGCAGGAATCCAATACAGTCCATTAACATAAAGGCAGCGCATGCTGGGGAAAAAAATAAAAAGCACAGCACATGGTTTCAGGTTTTCAGAATGTAATACTAGCCAGCTTGTGCCATGATGTATTGCAGAAAACAAATACAATTTAATCTAGATCTTAGCAAACTCATCTGTAAATATTTACTTTGATAACACACCATACAACTTTGTTTGTTAATGGCTTAATACATCATTCCTCATATGGGGATTATTTTTTTTTTTCCTGAGGCAGAGATTGCCTGTAGCATGAGTGATTTCCTCAGAGGCTGGATGTAACCTCTCAATCAGGGGAATACGAGATCAGAGCAGGAACTGAACTCAGGTGTCTCATTAAATGCCCTAGCCACAAAAACAGCGTACCGGGTAAAAACTGAAAGAGAACCCCAAGTGATGCTTATGCTTAAATCTTAAATACTAAATTCTAGCCTAAAGCAACCTGGGGTTCACAAGAAGGCTGCCAGGATCACTGGCATAGAGCTGGGTCACGCTAACTTTCCGCCGTGTAGTTCTGTTATGATATGTTGCTAAACTAGAGTAATGCAAACAGAAGGTTAAAATAACCACGTAAGAAGCTCTTCAGAAGAAGATCCAGACTTACTGTACAATCAATTTTGTTGTTCCTGCCCCCTATTTTGATTTACATTGGTCTCTCAGCATCCCTGACTGACACCTGTGCCTTGCAACCTTGCTGTTAATTGACACTTCTTGAGACAGCTGCTGGGACCCGGGGACAGCGGGTGCTCTTGAGGCTGCAAAGTGTGCTTTGCAGAAGTGAGGTTCCACATTGCCATCTTCCAAAGCTGCTGTGGAAAGAAAACTCTTCTTTTTTTTTTACTTAAAGCATGAAGTGCATCTGTGTTTGCAAGTAAAGCTCTGTTCCAAAACATAATGAAAGCTCAGTAATAAATTTGGTTGGTTTATGTTCCAGGATGCTGTTGACTTAGCAGGGTAACACTAATTTAATATAACTTATGAGAAACAGGACTAGTCAAGTCCTAGACAGTAGAAACACACTGAAGTGCATCATGATTACTGATCTCACGTTTGTACTCACTAAACAAATTAGAGATGGATGTCATCTGTATTGAATAGTATTTCAAAGGACCAATGCAATCAGCTACTTAGGTTATAGCCTTCTAATAAAAGCGGGACAGATGTGTATGTGTACTCTTAAAAGAGAGTAGATTGCCTAAAGCAGCTATCTTTCTTTTACAGGATTTCTTCACTAAAATTGCCTTACTTAATATATAACAATACCCTGGTGTGCCTTTGCAGGTTAGTTGTTTGATACGGAAATGTGATGTGTTGTTCCAGATGCAGTCTTTTTCTTCACTAGAAAAAAAAAAAGCCACAATGTTTTTGTTCTATAATAATCAGTCGTATTTTTCCCCTCACTTAGATACCCTTAAAGAGAAATTGCCAAGGTTAGATGAGTGTTTTATTCTTTTTGATCCTTTAACAAAAATGAGAATAGGACAAATTTTGTAGTTCTTGCATAGTTCCCAAGAAAAATGAATTTGCAGTCCCAAGAGAGAGAAATTGCGAAAGAAAACTGTATATTGGGATTTTTGCCCTTCTGAAAGCGTCCAAACTGTCTTAATCACCTTGGACAGTTTGTTCCACTCTTTTTGTGATAATTCACACTCCTACCTACATTCTGGTTTTTATCTCTTTTCTTTGGTGTTTTTCACCCAATCTAAATTCAGATGAGAGGGGCCTCTTCTTTGTATCTGTTTGCAGAACATGATTGATGCCATTAGTGCCATGTGAATAATCAATGCTAACGTACTTACTCTGTTCTTTCTACAGACCAGATAACAAAAGGAGATCTTGAAAATGTGCTGCAGAAGTTTACAGGGGACATAATGCAGGTTCCTCCACTGTAAGTTCCACAATATTGAGACACTCTGGGCACTTGGTTTCCGCTGTCAGGGCTTGTCAACAGAAAAAATACACATTTTGGCAAGAGGATAGAGGAAATGCAGACTTAGGAGTTTAACATTTGCAACTGCAGGTCATGTCCATTTCAACATCAAGCACAAATGGTAACCTGGAGTCTGGTTTTTTTTTAATGGTAAATGTAAAGTAGCAAAGCAATCTTAAACAGCGTTGCAGGGCTTGCTGATGTCTGTCCTGTCTTCCAATTAGAAAGCAAAGCTCCGAGTCTTTAATTTTAGTTGTGGGGTAAGAGGAGGCTTAGTGACATCTGTGCAGAAGTGTCTTAAATGACTTTGAATTAGTTTTCTGAAAACTTAAGAGTATGAATGAGTGATTAGTGACTGAGCTTCTGTAGCATAGCAAATTTCTTCTAGTCAGGTGAGCCATGGTAGCTGGCAATGTGCAAGCACTTAGCTTGCGACAGATGGCTTTTCTGGTGATTTAAGCTAACGTGCTTTCCTTTGCATTTGCAATGGGCCGGTTACTGTGGTTCCAATGTGAGCCCTCTAAGGTCAGTAATTCAGGGGATGTTCTGCTTCATGTGACCTGTTTCAAATCACCCTCCGATAATTTGAGCAAGATCTTTTTTACGTTTTCTACGGTTGTCATGTTGTCAAGACCAAAGTTGGAGCTTTGCATAAAGTTTCATGTAACCAATGAAGTTAATTTTTTTTTTTCCTATAGTGGTCCTCTAAACACCTTAGAACAAGGCTACGTAACTTGGCAGCTGCTGTTCAGGGAGGACCCTGGTGTGAGACGAATAAAGGTGCAAGGCAGAACTACAGTAGCTGCCTGAGCAGCTCCCAGTGCTCAGCTCACATAATGCTGAAACAGAGTACGCCCTGCAGACTTCTGAGAGACAGTATGTTAGAGGCAGCTCCGAGTGTTGTACCCCTTACAGGAACCCTTTGTTTTCATAAACTGCAAATTGAGCGATGAAACACTTAAATCTGTACAGCAAGAGATAAACACAAGACCATCTCTTGTTTTCCAGTTTACACAGCTACTGGCGAATGAGATGATTCTCTCTAAGAGATTTCAGAAGCACTTACTAGGTTGTTTGGTTTTTTGTTGGTGGTTTTTTTTTTTTTTTTTGAGCACTTGGAGAGGATTAGAAGGGTAAAACGTACGCTACTGTAGTACAATATTAACAGGATCTGGAGGATGGGAAGCTTGTTCTATTACAACCGTATGACACACATTTTCATGCTCTATCTGATCAGCTATTCTGCTTTGAAGAAGGATGGAGAGAGGCTATCAACTCTGATGAAAAGAGGAGAAGCAGTTGAAGCAAAGCCAGCTCGGCCAGTAAGAGTGTACAGCCTCTCTCTCCAGCAGTTCCAGCCACCACTCTTCACGCTGGGTAAAGGCCAAAGATTTTTGGGTTTGTTTTTTGTTTGTGGTTTTTTTTTTTTTTTGTGAGCACTTGGAGAGGATTAGAAGGGTAAAACGTACGCTACTGTAGTACAATATTAACAGGATCTGGAGGATGGGAAGCTTGTTCTATTACAACCGTATGACACACATTTTCATGCTCTATCTGATCAGCTATTCTGCTTTGAAGAAGGATGGAGAGAGGCTATCAACTCTGATGAAAAGAGGAGAAGCAGTTGAAGCAAAGCCAGCTCGGCCAGTAAGAGTGTACAGCCTCTCTCTCCAGCAGTTCCAGCCACCACTCTTCACGCTGGGTAAAGGCCAAAGATTATTACATAGAGTGATGCTCCCAGCTTGTTAGTGCTCATTTACACTCCCAATGGGAATAAGAGAGTGAAATGGGTTTCGTTTCCCTCAGCTACTTATTTTGGTGTGAGCCCATGTGCAGAGACTTTCGCTTTGCAGTAAAAGCCCCGTATTTTGGTTTTAAGTTAAGCTGATTATATGTAATCTTTCTGTGAGGGAAAATTCTGAGAGACTGGTCAGGGGATTATTTGCATCTGTCCATGATTTCACAACCTCCAGCTCACTCCTCCTTTCTCAGGTCTGCTTACTTCGCTTTGCCTGGTCTTTTCCCCAGATGCCCAGACCTGCTGGCATCATTCCCAGGGCACAGCAAGGACCTGTATCTGTTACTGTCAGGCCTCTTTCTCGGTTGAGGAGGCAGGGTCTTATCCTTCCTTCTGTCATACATGAAGAAACCCGGGTAGTACATTAAGGAGCACATTAATAAATAAACCAAAAAGACCGTTGTAAATGTTTGATGCTACTCTGAGGTCAAGATACTGTCTTGCATTGATGAGCTCCCTAGTTGACCCGTAGTCCTCTGATGGGCCAGATGTTACATGAGGATCAGGTATGAGTGACAGAACTCAGCGCCGTGTTACTTCAGCCCTCTCTTTATGGTTGGGTGACCAGCAGCTGATCACTGGGGGAAGGGAAGGGCTGAGAGAGCAGGGAAAGTCAAAGATAAATTTTAAATTTTTATTGGACTGCCCATGTGCAGTATCTTAAAAGCTTCAGATACTTAAAAGTATCTAAAAAATCAAGTTTAGACTCTACTTGAAATAACATGTTTTCATCATTTCATCATTAGAAATATGAAGCCTTCTGAAACCTTTAAAATGGCAGGACTGCAGCATTTGTTAACATACCACAGCAAGTACTTAATTTCTGGTGCGTTAGTTCAGTTGCCATTGTATTTGCTTCCCCTCCTGTCTAGCTTAGCAATCTCACCCGCACATATGTTACAGGATGAATAATTGATGTTGCATCCTATAAATATTTTATCACTAGGTTGTTTGCTTAGTGCATTTTTACATTTATGTGGGGGCATGGTTTCTATGTAAAGTGGATTTCACATTGCGCTGGCAATTTACCATGTCAACTATTACCATTCCAGATGTTGAATGTGGTGGTGGCTTTTATGTCAGGAGCCTGGTCAGTGACATCGGCAAAGGTAGGTATAAAAAAAAACCCGTGACAGGTTAAGGAATGAATGTGTCTGTTTATGGAAAAATTTTGTCATTTTATGTATCTCCAGGAACTAGACCTATGTGTTATTTTGCAGAATTGTAGTGCTATCACTTATTTTTATATACTGAGGTATTTTCCTTGGGAGCATGGGGGAATGGAGGCTAAATAATTGCCAGAGGACCTTGGGGGCTGGGGGCTAAAAATGGAGCAAGTAATAGCACTGAGCAAGATAATACAAGGCAAGGTGGGGATTTATTTTTTTTTTTTCCTCCATATGTTAAAGCTAACTCAGATTAAGGATGAGAAGAAGAAAGATACTGTCTTTTTAAACATTATTCATCACATTTTGAAAACAGATTGCACAGAACATTACCATGCACATAATAAACCCTATCTGCTGGAAAGACTTCCACATTTGTGATGATTTTTCCAGTATTTTCTTTCTCCTTTACCTGAACTGTGAATGGATTTGCTTTCCCACAGGGTTATTTGTCTTGTGCTCTATATCTATCAAACTGCATGATGGAGAACAGATAATCCATTTCAAATTTTTTTTTTTTTAAATGATACATTCGCAGATCAAGAAAGCAAGTGATGTGGGATAACCCTATGAATTTCAATGTTGTTATTTGTGCTTAGGCAAGTCAAAGATTCTGTTACTGCCTTCTGAGCATACTGGCTTATATTTAGTCCTTTAATGACAAACCAAGATGAATTTTTTCCTCAGTTGGTTTCTTTTCAAAAATATAAGATGTACTAAAAATCTTCCTGCATCAGAAAGGATGGGAGAGAATATTTTAGTATATGTGTGCGCTTACAAGTCAGCTCTGGTTGCTGTTATGTTCTGTAGTCTCTCATGTAACTCTGTTCTACTAGTATTTATTTAACATAGCAGAGCATTTGTTTATATTTTTTATTTTTCCTTATCTTAGTTTATGTTATCTTAGCACAGGATAAAAGCAAAATCTTTCTTAAAGGCAAGAAATGCTAAGGCCTCAAAGTCTGTGGAAAAATACTGCATGGTCGTCTAAGTCACTTGTGAATACAGAATGTTCTGCTGACACCTTATGCCATTATTTCCTCTCTTTTCATTCTAATTTAAATCTGGAAAACCTTTTCACAACTTTCTATCAGATTTTGACCTGTTTACTACGCTGGAGATCTATTGAAATCAAAGGCATTCCTTGGCTCAAATTTAAGGAGATATAAATGAGTGATAAATCTTCCTTCTCAAACAAAGCAGAATAGTGTAGAAGGCTACATGTTAAAATACATTTTAAGTGATTTGCAAATGGTTAAACTTGACCATGCACTTTTTCTAAGTTCTTTTTTCTCCTTTCCTGTAGAACTCTCTACCTGTGCCACTATGCAAGAGCTGACCCGAACCAAACAAGGGCCGTTTACGCTGGAGGAACACGCCCTTTATGAAGACAAATGGACAATTGATGAAATTGCACGATCCTTAGAGCATTGCACGTCTCTTCTCCCGGATGAGCCATCTCATAAAAAATTGAAGACAGAGCATCCTGGTGAAACTGCTGTGAGCTGTGAAGATAAGTGATAAGTTGAGTCAAGGAAAGAGACTGAATGATTGAGACATTTTAAGATTGGATTGGGATTGTCTTGCCTCCTGTGTAAATTTACAAGCCTGTACTGGGAGGATGACAAACTGCAGCGCAAGAAAAATGGTTCTTTTGTTTTCTGGGGTTGGAACATGCACTGAAAATATCCAGCGCTTGCTGTTTCCTGATCTGTTTATTTTCCTTCTTGTACACTGTAAATGGGTCTGATGTCAAATCTTCATAAACTTTTAAAGAATTTGTAGGGTGCAATATAACTGTTGTTGCAAATTCCTCAATAAAACAATTATAAACCCTAAGGTTTGATAAATGTCCTCCAAAAAAAAGTATCTTTTTTTTTTTCTTTATAGCTGGTAATCAAACCCTGAAATACTATGGTGACAAGACGGTCATAGCTTGCAGAATCCAAGAATGTGGTGTGGCAGTTTGCTTACTTGGAATCCATTTCAGGCTATGTCCATTTTACTGTAGTTTTCCCTATGAAGATTGTTATTTCAGTCAAATATCAGCCAGGATGCATCAAATGGAGATGCTAGTACTTTATCTTAAGTCGGAAATACCAGTGTAAGTGAATAGTTTTAAGTATAAGCAATCCCTGAAGAGAACTGTTTGGTAACAAATGCTCTGAAGAGTGCAGTCATCATTACAGGTATATATATTTTATTCTGGTACAACGTCCTAGTTGGAGACCACCCACCATTTAAAATTTAGTGAACTGTTATGCCCTTCATGGAATTTACTTTTGTCATGTGTGTGTTGCTTGAGCTGTCTCCTGTGGGTTGGGTAGGAGGCTGATGTGCTTCTGGGCTTTGACCGTCCTAAAAGGACTTCCCCATGTCCCCGTACAAGTTAGTAGTGGCTCTATTTATCTCTTGTCATAATGAGGAACACGAGTAGTTTTACCATGTGAGTGGTATCTGAGAGAAAACCCTGCTTTTCAAATAGTCACTGAAATGTCACCGGAGAGGAGTGGCTACTGTCACAGTTCTGTGCTGCTGCTGGCCAAGTGGCCTGCTGTGGCTTTGTGACTCCTGCACATTTGGGTTTTGGTTCTGGAGTACAGGGACTTGACTCTCGTACTCTGAGTGACTGAACGCTTTAAAGCCAGGAGTTTGTGCTTGTATTAGGGTGTAATATTTACAGAGAGACATGAAAATTTGATTTAATAGTCTGTGTTAATGGACTTGCTACTTTCCATGGTGAGTTATCTTGGTAGGTAATTACCTCTGTTGCTTAAAAGAAGTTGTGTTCTATTCCCAACTTGACTTGAATCTCCAAATGCTGCATTTGATGTCTTTGCACCTTACAGAAAGGAATTTCTTTGTGTGCTGAGTGAAATGAGCAAGTTCCAACCTTACTTTCAACCTAAGAAATGAAATAAATACCCTGAAGTTTCTCATTGCAGGATACCTTTCCAGAAATCTATAGGGTTTTTTGTGTTCTATAAAATAAGAAACTGAAGTCTATGCAAAATTAATGAAGCTTTTGTTTAGAGAGAGGATAGAGTTCATGTTTTATTGTTGAGTAAACAGACAGTTTTCTTTTGTATATTCTTGTAAAGAACTTAAGGGAAATATTGAAAATCTCACAAACCAATTGAAACGTTAGAGAACTGTAGCAGCAGTGTATTTAATGTACAATATAGATGGAGCCACCATGGTTAGAAATTTTGATTTCAGAGATGGGAGAAAAGAGCTGTGTTCAGTAAAAGAACAGTGGGAGATTTTAGTTACTTCTTTTCAGGTTGGGTTTTTTGGTACTTTGGATGGGAAATGAGAAGAAAGAGATTATTTCCTAAAGAAATCAAATAAAGCAGTAAATGTCATTTTCCAGTATGTTTATCTTGAATGATCAAAGACTTTGATTGAAACACAGCTTCTTTTATTGTCTAAATCTCTATTTTTCCAAGAACCTAATTTATGTTATCCCAGTGGTCTTCTAGATTAAGTTCTCATTTTATTTATCTTTCTGACTTTTTAAAAATAGCCCTGTAGATACAATTCTGTTAGTTTGCTTGCTTCATCTACAGGGATTTGTTCCTTAAAAAATTAGTGCAGCTGAGAAATATTTCTATTAATAGGGTACATTTGTATACAGTGTTGTAAGTGTCTAGCACATTTTTTTATCTCATCTGTTTGTTTAATGCTCACCATGGCTCTCTTGCTATTCCATGTAAGACCCCTTGATATTTTTAATTTCAGATGGAGTTAGCTTGCAACTGGTCTGTTGTAATTATTGCTAACAGATCTGTGATCCTGGGAAGACAAGATCCGCTCCATAGTCACTGGAGAGCAATGAAAATCAAAACAAAGCCTCCTATTGACATCAGCGAGTTGTGGCTTAGACTGCAAGTCCTGATGCACATGGAAAGTGCAGGGAGAGAAGAAATGCAGTTGCACATGTTCAGGAATCTGCATAAGGTGTGTAGAGAGTGTTTCTAAAGGCTGGAGGTATTTTTCAGTTTACAAATGTACCTTCCCACATTGTTTTATTCCTCTGCAGCAAGTAGAGGAATAAAGTCTAGCTAGTCACCAGGTCTAGCTAGACTTTTTTTTCCTGGGATTCCTCTCATCTTCCCCAACACTAGGTTCTGTCACCTTCAGAAATAAAGGCAGAACCTCTTTATCTCAAATTAATGACTAACTTCTCCCCACGCAACTTGTATTGAGCTGCAGAAGCTCAATAGCACACAAATAGCACTCAATAGCACGCCAGATAGCGCATGAAACTGGCAGGCAGCAGATACCTGTTCTTAGAAGACACAGAGCAAAGAGTGCATGAAGTCATGAGCAAATTACACAATAACAGCTTGTTTTATGACCACTGATGAGTGTCAGCCCCGTTCCAGCCCTAAAAAGCTGAGATGATTTTTCAAACATTCTGACTCCTCTGGCTACTTCCCAGTGTCCTTTCTGGATGCTCTTTCCTAGGTACCCGTGGGCGTTAAAAGGTCGCTGCCCCTTGAGCCACTGGTCCCAGTGAATAGTAAGAAGGAAGCCACTGAAAAATCTAGGAATGGCTTTTTTAGATATGTTTTAATAAGTGTTTAACCCAGTATTGAGAAACTATCCAGATGTGGAAGTGGTATGTTCCCATGGGAACCGAGGGAAATACTCATTTTAACTTCTTTATTCCTATCAACGTGCACGTCCCTGAGATACCAGACTTCAGAATTGTCCTCAGAAAAACGTGGGGTTTTTTCCAGAACAAAATATCCTGTGATCCTGGGTCTTGATTACCGAGAGTCATGATGTCTCAACATAAGGGCTATTTAGAGTAGAGAGGAAAAGTGTCTATGCAATATTTCTGAGATTAGTGGCAGAGTTAGTACTGAGTGCCAGCTGAGGCAAACAGTGATTAATAGGAATTTTATGCTACTCTGGCCAGAAAATATGCATGTCCCTGTGAATTACCATTTAAAATATATCCGTGACACGGACTGAAAGATTTGTCTCCCTTTAATGAGCATTGTTCATGGTAGAAAAGTGTGTCCTGCTTTTTTGAGCCGAATATTGTCTGTCTTGAGTTTGGACTTGTGATCTTTAGTCCCTGGCAGTACGGAGCCATAGGCTGGCCCCGAGTCTGCCTCCAGCGCTGGTGCTGCTTCACTGGGACTGAGAAGGGCTTCCCGAGTTGTCTCCACATCTCTGCCTGGCCAGCTCTCTTTCTTCCTTATTTAAATCGTGGTTTTTCTGCGCACTTTATAATATATTTCTGCTGCCAGCACATTGGGGACTTTCCAAATGTTTTTTAAGGAAAATCAATAGGATCTTTTTTTTAATATTAATCAAGTCTGAGCCATTAGCGAAATATTCTAGGAGTGCCTTCATCAATAACTAACCATTTAGCATCTTGCTGTGCAGTTCTGTTTTTGATGTATATGTTAATTAGAAGACAATAAAGTCAAACTTTTAATAACTCTCCAAATTTTGGGGTACCTTAGGATTTCATTGTTTAGTGTAATAGATGGTGCAGTTGCTATTGTGGGCATGAATGGCTGGGAGACTGTAATGGCTGGGGTCATTCCGTTTGCTTGGCAGAGTCAGGGAATCAGTTGGCAACAGTATTAATTTTACTAAAAAGGCCTTATTAGAGAGACAAAGCCCGAGTGCACTCTCCGTGTGCGTACCTGAGAGTGTGACTACAATATATACAACCAGAGGGAAGCCACAGAGACAGCGAATGGATTCAGCCAGCCTGGGCAAAATTACTGTCCCTATTAAAAAGCAGTCATTGTTTCTAATAGCCATGGGTTTAATTTGCTGCTTTATGAGACCTGATTAAGTAAATCACCAGTACTTAAGAGCACACCACACCAGCAGGTTTATCATCTGGATGCTTTTGTGTCCACTCTGGGTGATGCAATGGCGCATCTTTTCTTGCTGCCTCTGAGATCAACTGCTGAGATTGTCTAGGTGTTAAACAGGCAAAGCAAGAAGTTGGTAATTGGGAGCGGTTGGTTTCAGGACAAAAAATGGACTATATTGCAAGGAGGAAACTATATTTTTTTTTCCAATTCTGTTTTTGGGCAACTGTTGGAGACACTGCCATGGCTCAGAGAAGCTCAGAGAAGGTATTAGCATGGCTGCCTGAGAAAAGCCTAACGTTTTTGCTACAGATGTGCATGTCTTGGACTGTAATCCTCTTCCCTCCTCACCTCTAGCTCAAAGAAGTGGGGTTAAATCAAAGCAGCAGCCTCTCCCCACCTTTTCCATGTCACATTGCTGTGTGTGTTACAGATGCTGAGAGAATCCTTTGCTGAAACTCCGGGTTGTAAAAGGGCTTGTGTGGCTTGCCCCAGGAGTTAACAATAACTGAGAAGGAGTAGGATGAGACATGAGGCAATGGAATTTGTAGTATAAACACAAAGCAGCCTTCATGTATTCATCTTGGGTTACAGCTCCGTGCCTGGCCTGTCCACCCTGCATCCCATTAACTTCTCTGCTGTTTGAGACACTTCATCCTAAAACTCCCTCATCCTTCTGAATTCCTTTCCAGGGACATGAGGGCCTTGGGATAGCGTGGAGCAAAAATGCTGCGTAGTGTCTGGGGGGACAGGAAAGTTGGTTACAAAGAAGAACTGAAAAGGATGAGGTGTGTCTGGTCCGTTTCTTACCCTGAGCCTTTCACAAGAAAGACGTAGTTCTGAATGCTTTGGTGCCATTTCTCTGGGACGTAGGATTATTTTAGATATTTCAGAATTAAGTACTTCAAAGTCAAATCTGCAGCTGAGTGCATGCATTAAAAACAAAATACATCGTTTCACAGATGTTACGCTACTTTTAGTGGCTTCAGAACATGATTTTAGAGCTTAAAAAGAGGGGGATAGAAAAGGAACGGCAAGAGGTAAATGCGTATTTCAGTTGTTACATTTTTGAAATAGATGAACTCATTTTAGGTAATTGTGAAAGAAAATACATTAAGTACTCTAATGGAGAAAAGCTGAAGAGAAAGGACACAATTTTTACTACCTTTTCTGTTTCTTTTAGCAAATAAAGCAATTAGCTTAAACACATCTTTTCAAAGCTTAAGAAGCTTTTATGTGGAAATGCATGAGAGGTTGTTACTGTATGCTGATGTGAAAAAAGGCATTTATTTTCATTTCAGCAGCTGAAAAGATAGTCTTCTATGATGCCCTTCAAAAGGCAGTGTTTTGTTTTGCTTACACTGAATTGCCATAAATCCTTAGCATAACTTACTCTTCTGTGGGTGGAATGTTCATACTAAATCATTTCCTGCAGGTGGCTTTCCTAGGGGTCAAGTTCTGCAGGTACACAGTACCCATTCCCAATGTAAATGGAACATTGTGTACAAACAAGAAATATATTTAGAAAACAAGATTAATTCTCTGTAATCTTTGCTATGCAGATTGCTCTTTCAGGAAAACGTTACCCAGGCTGTATTAAACCCGGCTGCTGCTTTGCTGCGTCCCTTTGTGTACAGCTCCTGTTTACTTTGTACCCAGATTTGACAAAGGGCACTGGCAGACTCTGGTGATTTCTCCTCCAGGTGATTGATTTCACCCCACTGCTGCTCATACAGAGAGATTACTGCCTTTAACGTCTCTATTTGCTAGTTATGATTCCCTAGTCCTGTGCTCAGCGCCTCTGCCGGAGGCTGCCCACCCCCAGCGGGACGTGTGTGTCCACCTCACCCATCCCATCCTAGTCTGGTGTGTAGCCTGGTGGTGGTGCACCTTCTGTGCAAATAAACTAGACCATGGTAGGAGAAGACCATATGTCTCATCGAGTTGCTCAGGTAACCCCCAGCAAAAGACAGAGTGGGCAAGTTAGAGGGGATCATAATGTTCTACAACTCCTCCTTCCAAGCAAGAGTGGGTGCCAAATGTCAGGGAGGTGGATGGGTACATAGCTTAAAGCAGTCATTATTCCTCTTGACCTCAATGAGAGGACTCCTGCCTGTTTAACTAAATTATCTAAATTATTACTCACTGAATTAAGGCCTTGTGTATTTCATTTTCACCTATCATGGTTTTTGTCAATTTTCTTTTCTTTTTATCTTAGTAATGTAAACTGATTGAAAAATTGTATTTCTTTTTACAGGAAGAAAAAAAAAAAGACAGAATAAAATAAATATTAATGGTGTGGCACAACACTTAGAGTTGTTCCATGTCTAATGAATATGTAACAGCTCTATTTTACTTAAAAACAAACACACAAAAATTGTCAAAATAGAATTAGTGTTGTTTTTTAAAAAAGTGTTTATCTAGGAAATGCATTTCTCTGGAGAGTGCTATTAAGGACTGTGCAAAGTGGATAAGCCTATTTGTTGAGTGTGCTGGTGATCTGTTTCTTGATTTAGGAA